CGGGGGGGAGAGACGAGACGGGGGAAACCAAGTGAGAGCCGGAGAGGGGACTCAGGAGGGGAGGGGACACCAGGTGTGAATGGGGGGGGACAGGTGAGCGGGGGAGGGAGGGTGAACCCAGGTGGCAGAGGAGACCCTCGTTTGAGGGACCCAGGTTCGCATGGAGGGGCCCCTGAAAAGCACACGCCCCCTGCCTGCGGGGCCCGGTCGCAGCCCAGGCTGCCGGAGCGCGACTCCCCAGCTCCAGCCCTTGGCGCAGGGCTGGCACGGAGCGGAGAGCCGGCTGGCTTCCCAGAAGGCCCTCTGGTGGCTGGTGCAGCGGGGGGCTTGTTTCAGCTCAGAGGCCCCCTCCAGCAGGCCGGGGGGCACCTGAGGTGGGGCAAGGAGGCATCAAGCCACTCGCCTGGGGTCAGGCAGCGAGCAAGCGGCTAAGCCGGGATTAAACCCAGGACCTGGCCGGCTCTCGCACGGGCTCCTTGAGGAGAGGGAGCTGCTCAGAGCAGCCCGGCTAGGAGCTGGCAAAGAGGCCCCCACTGGGGCAGCGTGCATGGAAGCCCCCGCACATCCTTGGAGAGCCAGGCCTGCACCACCAGCATCGGGGGGGAGGGGGAGCTTCAAAGGGGCAATGAGATGGAATAGGGGATGGCTGGGAGACATCGGAGCCCTAGGCAAGGCAGGGAGCCAGCAAGGGATGCTGGGAAAATTTGCACCTGCATCCCTTGCCTTCCGTGGCTATAACAGGCCGGGGGGGCGGAGGGGCTTTGGGTTCTCAGCCTCCGGTCTGAAACCGGGACACTCCTCTCCTACCCACAGTGCAGCTGTGTTGGCTTCAGTGTGTGAACGAGCAGAGAATCAGGCCCCCTGCACCTAAAGTCCACGGGCCGGCCCCGACGACTCAGCCCGCTGCAGTATGTTCCACCCCGTGCAGCGTGCGGGCCCTCTGAACGAGACCTCGGCAAAGCCAGCTCCTGTGGGGAGCAGCAGGGGGTTGCCCTTGTCTCAAATTCTCTTGCCCCTTCCCCGGGCATTGCCACGCTATGTGCAGGTGAGATACCGCCCCAGAGGTGGCCGCATCTCAAGGGCGTGATCCGGGATCCTTCAGGATGAAAGGGGCTATAGAAGCTTGCAGTACTCCACAGGGGAGAGCTCCCTCCTTTACGCAGGGTGGGAGGGGAAAGGAAGGACAATTGTGCATTACTGTGGTTATTGCGCTGTGTTTGTACAGCGCCTAGCACACTGGGGTCCTGGGCCATGACTAGGCCTCCTAGGTGCCATGGTGATACGAATAATAATAATTAGTGGCTGATTTATTTAGCGCCTCTGGACGCCTCCAAAGGTCTCCCACGGGAATGCAACCTCTGCCCACTACTGCAATGCAGCCACTTCTGGGGTGGAATGGGGCCGCCACTCTGTGCTAGCAGCTCAACAGCAGGTTCGGGTGGGAAATGAGGAGGAACACGGCCCGCAGCTAAAGCAAGAGAGGAATCTTGGGCTGCTGAAGCGTAGTCAACCCCCCTCCCCCCAATCAGAATGCGGCAGGACGCCAGGGTCCTCATGAAAAGGGCCAGAGGATTTCAATGATCAGAGCCCCTTTGGCTCTGGGGCTCAGCTGAAAGCCAGAGCCCCCTCGTGACGTGGTAGCAGCAGCCTGGCCAACCCCAGGCCTTCAAAGCTCACCCAGTAGTCTCCCCCCCGCCCGCTTCGAATGATGAGATTTAATAAAGATAGTAGGGGGGGGTGTTTCTTTTTTTATTCCCTTTCCACTTTTGGAGCCTTTCAGAGTTGGGTCTCCCGGCCTCTCTCCGCAACCCGGGGTGGGGCAAGAACCGTTTGTATTTTTAAATGAAAGCCACGATTCTCAGTCCTCACCTGACTCCAGGAGCTGGGGCTTTCAGAAGAGCACCCAATATCATGAGACACTCTGCCCCGCCCCCCCAACTCAGGATAGGCTGGGCAGGAGCTGGCACCCCTCTACTAGGCCAGCCCCAGCGCTGGAGGAAGAGCAGCCCCTCCCCTGCCGAGTCACTAGAGCAGCGGACCCCAGGTGCAGGGCTGGTTTGACTGACCTTGCGGGTCTCCCCTCCCGGTGCCAGCCAGGCTCCAGCCTGCTTAGCTAGGCCAAGGTCTCAGCCTGAGGGGCTATAGGGAAAGCCCTGCTAGCAGGGGGAGCGGGGCAGGGCTCTGCGATGCCCTCCTGGGAGCGCGGCGGTGGCAGCCCCACGGGGCATCTCACCTTGAGGTGCTTCTGCAGCTGGACCTCGTGCTGCCGCGTCAAGTGCTCGTGCTGCTTCTGGAACTCGGCGAAGAGCAGTTGCTTCTGCAACTGCTGCTGCTGCTTCAGGACCAGCAGCTCCTGCTGCAGCTGCTGCTCCCGCACCGCCGGGTCCACGCTGGGCCCGCTGCCCCGGGCGTCTGTCCGCAGGTCCACCGGGCTGCTGCCGCCGCTGCCGCCACCGCCGCAGGAGTTCTGCATGGCCACGGGCAGCACCGGCTTCACGTCTACCGCTGGGGAGCAAACAGAGACAGGCCTTGGCAATCAGCCCCCGCCAGGGACCAGCCAGCAGGGAGGGCAGAGCTCGAGGGCGGGAGGACTCCCCCTCTCAGCTAAAAGCAACGGAGAGTTCCCCTTCCGCTCTCCTGCTGGCTCGCTGGGCACGGGGGCAGGGAGCAGCTGGGGGCCCACTGGGCCCAGCGCCCCAGGAACAGCCGGGGTGCCCTGGTGGGCCCGGCGTCCCGGGACCGGCCATGATGCCCCGGTGGGCCCAGCGTCCCGGGAACGGCCTGGGTGCCCCGGTGGGCCTGGCGTCCTGGGAACGGCCAGGGTGCCCCATTGGGCCCAGCGTCCCGGGAACAGCCACGGTGCCCTGGCGTCCCGGGAACGTCCGGGGTGCCCCATTGGGCCCAGCGTCCCGAGAACAGCCGGGGTGCCCCGGTGGGCCCAGCATCCCGGGGTGCTTTAGAGAACGGGGCCAAGTCAAATCCATCCAGGTCATGGAATCTCCTGCATTTCCCATTCCCACCCTCCCTCTGTCTGCCCCTGGCCTGGCACTGCCCCCTAGTTAATGGAGCCCCAGAGCTTCCAGCCAGCCCGTCTCGGAGTGTCACACGCTGGCTAACCTGGGGGCTGGGCTGGATCAGGGTTAAACAAGCAGTAGATCGAGCTGGCTATGTCCAGTGTTACCCCTGTCGGCCCCCTCACTCCTGGCAGAGACCCTGCAAGGGGGCCATGGCTGCACACCCACCAGAATGAGGTGAGCTCTCACTGCCTGGACACGATGCATGGGCATTGGGGAGGCGCCTTCTCCCCTCTCGGCCAGCCCTTCACTCCGCCCGCGCGGGCCAACGTGCGCTGTGGGATCTGAGGGAGACCCTTGCTAGCGGGAAGCGGCCAGCGCTCCAGACCCGATCCTCACAGAGTCACTTCTACTGGGACCCGGACCGGCTGTGCAGAGCCGCTTCCTGGATCCAAGAACCAAGGCAGAGATCTGAGTCTGGGAGGCAGCTCCCAGCGCGGGCGGCCTAGCCAGAGCCCAGGGTAGGAGACGAGGGATATTCCCCATCCCCCTACGACCCTTGGGGCTCGGCAGATCCAGGGTCCAGCTCCCCCAGCCTCACTGCCCAGCAGGACGCTCCTGTCATCGCCCAGGGCACCGTAACCCACCGTGCAGCCCCTTGCGCGCCGTAGGCCCTGTGGGCATGGCTGCGCCAGGCGCCGGGGCTTTGGCAAGCTGTGAATGAGTCGAGAGCCGCGGTGACTCAGTCGCTCACTCCTCTGATTGTCTCCCCGTCTGTCGTAAAACCATGTGCGCTGTCATTAACCCGCACAGTCCCAGGGTGTGTGTTCTTGTGTGTGTGTGTTCGTGTGTGTGTGTGTGTGCATGCGCGCATGTGTGTGTTTGTGTGTGTGTTCGGGTGTGCATGTGTTCGGGTGTTCGTGTGTGTGTGTGTGTGTGTGTGTGTGTGTGTGTGTGTTCGTTCGCGGGGCACATGGCAGCGCCGGCTACTCCCACCTCTCCTGCAGCAAGGGGTTTCTCCAGGAAATTATCCCCTTTCTGTGGGTTTATTGTAACAACACCGGGGTGGGGGGACGGACCAACACATAGGGCTAAATATAGACAGAGCCAAACAGCAGCTGTTGTGAGCGGGGCGGGGAGGCTGGAGGGTGGAAGCGGGAGGTGCAGGACAGCGCTGAAGAGAGCTGGCACATGAGCGCTGCTGCGAAAGGCAGGAGGGGGAAGAAGCTACAGAAGGAAAGAGAGAGAAAATCGCTGACCGCTGGCCCTTCCCCGTGAGGATCTCAAAGCACCTTCTGAACATTAATGAGTTAAGTTTCACCCACACACACACACTGCCCCCCACTATGAGGTACTATGTTATTTATAGGCATGGTCATAGCACCTAGGTGCCCCAATCACAAACCACAAAGCCAATGTGCTAGGAGCGGTACATCTTTATTGCTACTAGATAAATTACGGTAGTGTCTCGCCACTCCAGGCATGGACCAGGCCCCTATGGTGCTAGGAGCTGTACAAACACAGAACAAAAAGAAGGCGTCTACCCCAAAGAGCTCACAGTCTAAGGTAGATCAGTATCATTAACCCAATCCCACAGGCGCGGGGAAACTGAGGCACACTGCTCTAGGTCAGTGGGGGAGAGAACCCCCCAGTTCTCTGGCATCCCTGTCCAGCCACAGCAGCATCCCCCTCCTGGAGGAAGGCAGACAGCCCCGGTAAGCGAACTGCATTTCCCGGGGGGTGTTCTCCATGCGCCATACAAACCAGCCATCCCCACGCTGCGACGGCCGGAGAAATACAAAGCGGAGACTGCGGAACGAGCGAGTCACATTTTCACTTTCCAGCCGGAATCATCCCCGCCTGCCCGGGAACACGGTCGCGTGTGTGCAGCGCCCGACACAACAGGGCCCCGAGCCCGACTTGGGCGCTACCGTCACGTCGATATTTCCAGCTACGAACGGTAATACTGTCACATCCCGCAGGTGGAGAGGAAGCGAGGGATTTCCAATCCCCTCTTCCAGCTCTGCACTGCAGTGGGGGGACTAGAAAAAAACCATGGCAACCGTCAGGCAGACTGGGAGTTGAGGCCCTTCGCCCCAGTCTGAATCCACCTGTTGGCCTGTGTCTTATCCTTGGATTGTGGCCCTCTGGGGCAGGGACTGTCATCGTAGTCTGTGTCTGGACAGCGCCTAGCACAACTGGAACTCCCAGGAGCTACTCCAATACAGCTAATAATCAGGGGCAGGCAGAGGAAAGATGCAAGAGGAAACCGGACCGGCGCCCGGGTACTGCAAGGATGGGCACTTTAAAAGTGCCAGAGAGCGGTGCCAGCCCACCTCAGGAGAATCAACCACCGAGCCGAGAACGTCAATCAGGGGACGCGTCTACACAGCTCGGTTTGGTAGCGAAAGGCCGGCCACGGCTCAGCCAGTTTCCCACAACCCCCTGCGCTTCCCCACGGCGAGGCGGGTGGCAAACAGCTCCCGTCTGCTGAATGACACAACACCCCCGCCAACTCCCAGACACACACCACAGCCGAGCCTTTGTGTTCCTTCGCCATGGCAACTCTGCTGACGCGGCGGTGACGCGGTCCCAGCCCGTGCGTAGGGCGAGTGACACACACAGACGACCCTGCTCGGTTCAATAATTTGACATCAAATCAAGAGTGTTTATCCTCTTGTCCCAGCCCCTCTGCGGAGGTGGGCCCTGCCTCGGGCTTTTGATCTGACACTCCCAGCAAATGAGGGAGATTAAATCTTTATAAACCTGGCTGGAGGGGGGCGGGAGGCGGGATTGCTTTAGGGTCGGTTTATACATATCGTTTGGTTGGGAAGCAGTAGGACCGGCTAGACGGTAGGGGCAGGGGCCGTCGGGATCAGTTTCACAGCACAATCTGCCATGCGAGGGAGAATCAGGCAATTCAACCGCTCCCTACGGTACCTGCATGGCCCCCATTACCACAGTGTCTAAGCCCCTTACAATCTTTACTGAGTTTATGCTCAGGGATAGGAGTATCATCCCCCAGGTTACACGTAGGGAACTGAGGCCCCGATCCTCAAAGGTACTGAGGTGCCTGACTCTCCTTGTTTGTACAGCATCTAACACCAGGGGGTTCTGGGTCCCTGCTTGGGGCGCCAAGGAGCTACCGCAAGACAGATCATAAGCAACAACATCCCCGCGCGTCCAGACCTGGCGCAAAACAGAGAGAAGCCAACTCATCTTGTAGCTGCGACACAGGAATGGGTGCCACCAGGCCGGCAGTCTGTTCCCAGCTCTGCCACTGACCTGCTGGGGGACCATCAGCAAGTCCGGTCACCGCTCCGTGCCTCAGTTTCCCCTCCTGCTCTTTGTCTATTGAGATTGTGAGCTGGGTGTGTGATCACAGCTGAGCCCTTCAGAGAATGTCTACTCTGCACTGTAAACCAAGCTCTGTATTTCAAAGCCCCACACCTTGAGCGTCCACACTGCACTGTAACCCTGGATCTCTCAGCCGTGCTAATGCGTCCACGCTGCACTGTAACCCTGGATCTCTCAGCCGTGCTAATGCGTCCACGCTGCA